TACCTCCTCTGAGTCGTGACCCGCTCTTCAGAACTTTGAGCGTTCTTTCACTGTTAGGTCCAAGCTGGAGAGCATCGTCGACGACTTCCTGATCAGAACGAAGGCGCCCTGCGAGAACGCCAACAAGGACACCCCACGCCCTCCCCCTCTGCCAGCTGCTGCACGTGCACCCCTCCACTTCCGACTCCCTCGTTCCCGAAACAGCTTGTCTGTAAAGTCTAAAGTATGTGGCCCGCTGGATCCGGAATCGGGCGGGCGACGTTGTCTTCCATTGTCTCCCGTTGCTTTCCCTTTTCTCCCGTTTTCTCTCCCGTGTTCTGATTTTCCGTAGCCCCGACATGCACAAGGGCGACGGGGGTGCAGGGCCCAGGGGTAGATGCGAGAGAGAGGAGGGAGGAAGGATGGAGGACGGAGGGATGGAGACTTGGATCCTGGCGTCGCATTTTTTCACTGGGCAATTTCGCCCGGTTTCGGTCCTTGGGACCGTCACGAATCTATCAGGTTCCAAAGAAGAATCCCGATGGGTTCTAAGGGTTCGGGCCGTGATTCTCTTTGATTTTCCATATTTCTGCAACGTCGGATCCGAGGAGAGGAAGGGATTGAAGGGAGGGAGGGAGGGAGGGAGGGGAGGAGGGAGGGGAGGGGAGGAGGGGGAACCTGACCAGGAGCGCCACCAGGACAGGTCTCCATGGATGGACCTCACCGTGGGCAGTAACCCCAAAGCCCGGGCGCCCCCCTGTGTGACGGGGGTGGGGGCCCCCTCGGGTGCCCCTGGACCGAGGAAGGGACGGAGGGCGGGAGGGAGGGAGAAGGAAGGAGAAGGAGGCATGGAGAGAGGAGGGAACGAGGGGTGCGCTGCGGCGGGGGTGCGTGGCTCGGGGGGAGACCTGGAGGAAGGACGGACGATTGAGGAGGGAGGAGAGGGATGGGAGGAGCGAGGCGGGAGCAGGGGGGCGGGAGGGAGGGAGGGAGGAATGAGGGAGGGAGGGATGCGAGGAGGAGGGTCCCTTCTCCCCGCATTGTTTGGTTGCGAGTGAGAAATTACGCTCAGAGGCGGAGCGCCGCGGGGCCAGTCCTTCAAGAGGCCATGTCCTGTGGGTGGCGCTTTTCGTTGCTTGGGGTCTGGGCCACAACCCCATCGCCAGGGGGCGCCCCCCTTAGAGTGATGGGGGTGGAGACCCACTCGGGTGCCCACCCGGGCAGTGTTAGTGGGAATGAGGAGGTGACGGCGGGAGGGAGGGCGGGAGGGGAGGGAGGGAGGAATGAGAAGGGAAGGAGGAGGGAACAGGGGGCGCGGTGCTGGGGGCGCGGGGCTCAGGGGGAGACGCGAGAAAAGGAGAAGGGAGGAGGATGGAGGACGGAGGAGGGAGGGAGGGGAGAAAGGGAGAAGGAACGGGGATGGGATGATGGAGGAGTGCGGGAAGGATGCCGGAGAGGGGAAGGAAGGGCGGCTGGACGCAGCAGTACAGCAATTTGTGTGCCGACCATCGATTGTCTTTTGTTTCTGCAGATCCAAGGCAAGAGCGGTGTGCGCGTTTCCGCCCGCCGGCCCGCCCGAAAAGGATGGACTGAGACACCGGGCGGCCCAAAGCACGCAAACGACGTGCTCTGAGCCGCCTGGCTCTGGGGAAGGGAGGGAGGGAGGGAGGGAGGAGGGAGCAGGGTGCGGGGTAAGCGTGGCAATTCGAATGCTCGCGCGGATATTTGGGGTCGGCGCCAGCAACCCCAGGCGGCGCCTCCGGCGCCGCCCCTGGAGCGCTCCGCGCGCCAGGGAGTGGGGTCAAGCACCGATCCAAGAAATCTGCGCGGACCTTCGAAAGTGTACGTGTGTATTCGGGCTCGAGCTGAACGGTTTTGGCGATTCCATGCGCCGTTTTTTTTGGGGGGGGGGCTATCGTTTCTCAGCAAAGGCAGACCCAATGCAGAACGAACAACAACTACATCATCACTTAAGCGAGCACGAACACTACATCACAACTTAAACGAGCACGAATGTGTCCAGGCTATTCAGGGGTGCATTCAACATGGTTGTCCCGAGCAAGGACCACATGGTTTAACGTGTCCAGGATACTCAGGGGTGTATCTAACATGGTTGTCCAGAGCTGGCACCATGTGTTTTTACGTGCCTAGGTTACCCAGGGGCATATCTAACATGGTTGTCCCGAGCAAGGGCCACCTGTTTTAACGTGTCCAGGCTACTCAGGTGTGTATCTAACGTGATGGAAGGCTTTGTTATGTTACGATTTTATGTGATTATGTGCTATGCTATGGTTTGTAATGCCATTGTGTGACATGTTATGCTCTGTTATGTTACGCTATGTTTTGGTTTACTCTGGCCTTGTTTGTTATGTATTGTGGTGTTATGTCATGGCCGGTATGCTCAATGATGTCATCGCATTCGTTGTTATGACATGTTCTTTTATGTTTTATGTCTTGTTCTGACATGCTAAGTCATGGTGTGCGTTGTTTTGTGATGGCGTTGTGATGTAGTATGGTACGTGTGTTATGCCGCGCTCTGTCATGGTATGGTTTGTCATGCTATGTCATGTTATGTGTTTTGATGCTGTGCTATGGTGTGATATGTTCTGCCATGCTACGTTATGCCATGGTCTGGTACGGCACGGTATGATAGGTTATGTTATGATATGCGGTGTCATGCTGCATTATGTCCTGTAAGATACAGTCTGTCATAACTTGTGGTAGTATGCTATGCAATGTGCTGCTATGATGCAGCATATTATATCGCGCTCTGTCATGGTATGATGTGTCACCTGTGCTGCGATGTTACATGCCGTACCATTTGTGGTGTGATTGTGTACCATGGCGTCGTGTGTTATGTCATCGGGTGGTATGCTACGCTTTGCTTGGCAATGTAATGCTACATGATATGTTATGTATGTCTGTCCAGCATGGCATCACATGCGCTGTTCGGTGTTATTGTGATCTGATATGTTATGACATGCTTTGAGGCTGTGACATGCTATGGTTTGGCATGCCCAGTTATGCGATGTGTTCTTATGGTGCGCTTGCTTTGTCGTGCTATGTACTGCTCTGTGCTATGAAGCTGTGCTATGGTATGCACAGATCTGGCACGGTTTGTATTGTTACGATGCGTGTTGCCTTGATGCGGCATGCAACGTTTGGGTAGGTGTTTTTTGGTTGCGTGGTGTTATGTTCTGTTCTGTCGTAGCTTATAGTGTCGTGCTGTACTATTTCCTGCTATTGTATGATCGCGTTCTGTCAAGCTATGATTTGTCGGCGTGAGGCCGGACACTCGGGGACAATTGGGTGACCTGGGGATATGGTGGCCGTGGTATGCAGAGTGGTGCGAGGCGGGACTTTCGGGGACACTCAGGAGACTTGAGGGCTCTGGCGGCCGCGGTATGCAGAGTGGGCGAGTCGGTTCGAGGCGGGCTATTCGGGGACACTCGGGAGACCTGGGTATCTGGTAGCCGCGGAAAATGCAGAGATGCGCGAGGCGGGACAGTCGAGGACACTCGTGTATTGGGTCCTCGTTTTGACGAGACGGCGCCCCGCGTCTCCTCTTCTCATCCATCTCCTCCCTCCATCCTCCCGCTCCTTGCTTTCGTACAGCGTTTCGTGGACCATGTGGAGCTCCTCCGAAGACGGTGCCCACAACTGCGGTATGCACAACTGCATATGGTTGGGTTCTTGGCCAGGCTAATTTTCTTAGCCCGATCTTGGTCCCTTTCCCTCGATCCCTATCCCTCTTCCTTTTTCGTCCCTATCCCTATCCCATATATGGTTGAGGGTTTGGGCCCCCCCCCCCAATGTTAATGCCATCGGGCCCCCCCCCCCCGCGCGATGGTCCCCCCCCCTCCCGCTGTGGATGTGGTGTGGGTGTGGTGTGTTGCTGTGGGCGTGTGTGGGGTGACCCAATGTCCTCCCCCCCCTCCCCCCCTGTGGGTGTGGTGTGGGTGTGCGTGTGGCTGTGATTGTGGCGTCATGCTGACGTGCTTTCGGAAAGCTCCGGTGCTCGATGTTGCCGCCGCCGCCGCCGCCGGTGTCGTCGTCGTCGTCGTCGTCGTCGTTGTCGTCGTCGTCGTCCGTCGTCGTCGTCCGCCGTCGTCCGTCGTCCGTCGTCGTCGTCGTCGTCGTCGTCGTCGTCGTCGTCGTCGTCGTCGCCGTCGTCGTCGTCGTCGTCGTCGTCGTCCTCCTCCGCCTCCTCCTCCTCCTCCTTCTCCTCCTCCTCCTCCTCCTCCTCCTCCTCCTCCTCCTCCTCCTCCTCCTCCTCCTCCCCCGCTATCCCATCTGGCGGGGGGGCCCGAGGACCCTGGGACCCATCCCATCTTGTGGGGGGGGGGGGCCGTGGGCCCAGAGCCCGCGATCGTATATCCATCCCCATCCCGATTCCTATCCCTATATCCCGATCCCTATATCCTCAGCTCCTCAGCCCTATATCCCTACCCCTTTCCCTATCCCGATCTCCCCTATCGTGCCTTCCCCATCATGGCCCTCCATCGTGACCCCCCATCGTGGCCCCCATTGTAACAGGGTGAAGCTGTCTAGGGCTTTGTGCCGCAAGGGTGTCATGCCAAGTTGCTACCCTCGAGCCTTTTTTCGGATGTCCCAGGAATGTGAGGTGACCACACGGTCGGGTGAGCCAATTGGTAGTCGAGATGGTCGCGCGGTTTTGGTACTTGGGTCTTTCTCCGACAACGTCTCGGGCGATTGGGGCCTCCAATGTCCCAAAACCGTGCGGTGACGGACTGTGTGGTGAGGCCGTTTGGTAGTTTCACCGCACGACCTGCCACCGCACCGTCTTGGGACCCTATTTCAGCACGTTCGTTCTATTTCTTGCTTGCCTTACCCTTCGGCCGAGTTGATCTCTCGGTCTCCTTTCCCGGGCGAACACTCGGGAACACTAGCCAATTATTTACGAAGGGACGTAAGAACCCCTGCGTACAAGCACTGTCTGTGGAACACTGGGAGGGGCTGCGTGATCAAAACGGGAGTCTACTCGGCTTCTGTTTCTCAAAATGGCCTCTGCCGATTTCTGGTTATGTTGCCTTTCGTATCTGCCGCTGGACGTCTGCGCGGACCTTTAGACAATCTCTCATCGTGCCGCTCTCTGTTGCTCCACAGGACGCGGGCGTGAAGCCGGGCGAGATCGACGAGGTGCTGCTTGTCGGGGGCATGACGCGCATGCCAAAGGCCCGCCAGCCGCCCCGAGCGGGCGGCCCGAGCTCCCAGGTGTCTCGGGGGCAGTGTCAAGAGGTGGGACTGCTGGGGGCCCCAAGCGGTGCGGTGACCATACCGTGTGGCCAGTCAGCGCGGGAGTGCAATCGTCATCCTCGCAGCCTGGTGGCCCTCGCAGCCTGCTGGCCCTCGCAATCCTCATCCTCGCCATCCAGTTGCAGCTACCGTAGGGCTCTGGGCGACCGCGCGGTTGTAGGATGCGGGTCGTTCTCGGAGGGCGTCTCGGGCGACCAGGGGCCTGCAGCGCGCGGTGCGGTCTCTGCGGTGCTCGTGATCGCTGCACGGGGTGCCATTGCGCTGCCTCGGGACTCCCAAGGCTGGGCCAGGGCAGGGGGAGCATCGGCCTCCAGTCGCCCACTCGTCGCCCACTGGTGCCTCGGCTCGGGCGACGACATCTAGACTTATGATGTTCCAACCTACTTTAGCCTTGACCACCAGAAAGAATTTCGAGCACCACCGAAAATACCGAAACTCCAGGGTTTTCACGTGTCGGGCCCTGGGAGACACTCGCCCGATACTGTTTCGACTCGCTTTCGGCACTCTTTCGACACTTTTCCGGGTGCTCGAAATTATTTCTGGGATGTGGTCCCGATGTGCGATGGGAGCAGCATACATCTACACATGTCCAATGCTTCCTGGCCAGGCCCATCCCGAGCCCAGGTGCTGTGCCTACGCCCCGCTGCTGGGCAGGCCAGGAGGGCGCGGCCTGCACCGCTGCTGGGCTTAGGATGGGTCTTGCCAGGGAGCAGTGGATGTGTGTATAGATTTGCGTCGCCCTATCGGCGCCACACTCGCGCCAGACGAAGGGGGGGGGGGTAGGGAAAGGGGGGTGTACAACATCTGCTGCACGCAGCTGGTTTCGGCCTCGCCGCTGCGCGCATCCCTCGACACATGGGCGCTTCCTGGCGCCAGGAGGCGTCAGGACAACCAGCTACGTGAGCTGATATTTAACCTTACCTTTTGCTATCCTAGCCTTCCCCCCCCCCCGAAGGAAGCATGCTGGCTCGCCATCGGGGCCCTGCATCGCCGAGCCATTGACGACGCCGGGCCGATGCCAAGGCGGTGCCCACCTTTCGTCCCCCCTCAGCGCCTTGGTCGCGCGCAGCGCGCGCGGCACGTGCGCGCGAATATGCTTGGGAGACGACCGAATTTGCCTTTCTCTGTTTGCCTGGGAGACGACTGAATTCGGGACGCCTCGCGGATCCCACCAGCCCGTCTAGACCTTGCTGCTCGCGGCCATCTTTCGGCGGCGAGCGAGGGGGGGAGGTGAGAAGGAGAAGGCCTTCTCGAAAGGCGGCGTGGCTTCTCAGAGCCCTCCAGCCTTCTGACAGGTCTTCTGTGTCTTCGGGGAAGGCCCAGGACATTTCTCAGAAGGCCTGGGGACTTCTGAGTCTTCTGAGAAGGCCTTCTTCTCTCAGGCGATCGCAAACATGGATCAAGGGGGCGTAGATTAGCGACGGGCCCCAATTCCACTGGAAATCGCGGATTTCTGGCGTTGGACGAGGCGGCACCGGCCGCATTCGCTAATCCATGTTTGCCCGCCCCCGATTCTCACTTCTCCCCTTGGGCTCGCCGCCGAATCTCTGACGCTGCTGTAAGCGGCCACGCGGATCTCAGCACCCGTGGCGCGACCGCTTTTCGGCATCTTCCCTGGTCTGCCCAGGCGCCTGCACGCCATTAATGGTTTCGTCTCGTGTGCCGATGATCAGGAGGGAAGATGCCGACAAAACTAATCGTCGATCCCTGGGAAAATATACGGAAATATGGGAAGTGCCGGGGAAGACGAGAAACAACAACACATGAAAACATTTGTGAAATCGTGGGATTTGTGCATATTTATTTGTGTGTCCCTTGGTCCCTTGAATGATTAGCAGGTCGCTCGTTTCACCCGCCCATTCAAATGATGCCCATGCCCATGCGAGCAACGACGAGGGGCAGCTCTTAATCCGAAGCTGGTGATCAGCATGAGCAGCGGACGTTCCGGAAGAGGGCCAGCTGCTGCAACAGCGGCTCTCTCCTCCTCTTCCCCCTCATTTTGGGCCTTCCTCCCTCCTCCTCCCTCCTCCTCTTCCTCACTCGTCCTCCTCAGTCCTCCTCCTCCCTTTTCTCCTCCGCCTCCTCCTTCTCCTCTTCATCCTCCTCCTCCTCTTTCTCCTCCTCCTGCTGGTGTCTCTCTGACTCATCAGTTGGCTCCCTCCTCCCCTCAGCACCCGCGCGCCGCGCAGCACTCGGCTCTGGCGCGGCAAGCTTGCCATTTCTCATTCTCATTCTTTCTCATTCTTTCTTCCCCACCCGTGCCCTCAGGTAGCGCAGTGCGGGCCGCACTTCATGTCAGAGCTGCCGTTCGGCCAGCTCGGCCTCGAAGCAGCGCTCAGCAGCGCCGCTCGCGGTGCCGCGGGCGCCGGGCCGCCAGCGGCGATGATCCCAGGGACTGTCCTCATCATGGATACGGTGACGAGCAAATTTGGATCATGTTTCCCCGCCAGCGAATTGAAAGACATATTCCTGCGTGCGAGGTTGTCCACGGCAGAGGAGCTAAGGGCACTTTCAGAGACTGCGTCCATCGCAGACATGGCCAATGAATTGTCGAAGTATTGGCATGACCTCCAGAATCCAGACGCACATTGCCCCCCAGGCGTCAGGGCAGCATTGTTGAAGGTTGTGAAGGCGATCTGCCCCGTTTCGGCGCCTGTGGCACCCGGGCGGCCAGGAGAGGCGTCAGCCCCAGCGGGTGTCCAGAACCAGTTGCGCCTATTGCAGGCGGTTTTGACGCTGAGCAGCGGGTCCGCGATGTCGGTCCTTGAGGAAGAGACCAAGGACGACCTTGGCCATCTCATCGAGGCGACAGGCCTCGGCGAGCCCGCGCTGCGCGCTTACCCCGCGACCAAGCAACTGAAGTTATGCGACGCCGCCGCGAAGCTCGGCAAGCCCCTGCCGCATGAGGACTCCATCGAGGGGCTCGAAAAGTCCAGGTCCTGGACGGAGGGCCGGGCCTTTGCGGACTGGGTCGTAGCCTTCATTCGCTACTCTTGGGCTGGCTTGCTGCGCAGTCGCATCACAGTCGCGTTGGCGTTGAATCGCATCGACAAGGTCGCGCGGCTGGCGGCGGACGCTGCCAGCCCGGCTTCGCAGGCTGAGAAGAACGCCATCGCCTACGACCAGCTGGTCAGGAGCACCGCTTGGGCTGCAGCCAAGCGCAAGGCCGACCCAGCGGCCTTTGCAACAACTATGTCCGGTGACAAGCAGGACTTGGTCACGCAGGCAAAGGAGGAAGCGAAGGATGTCAAGCTCCACGCCCCGGGCGCGAGCGCGAGGGCCCAGCGGAAGCCGGATGCGGTCCACTTCTGCTTCAGGCATTTCTCCGGCAAGTGCGACATGCGCGATCGCGGCAAGACGTGCGTCTTTCACCACGAATGCCCGTTCTGCGCCAAGACACAGGAGGGCTGCCTGGCGAACCACATCAAGCCGCTCGGCCTGGGGCTGATCAAGACCAGGGACAAGCGTGCCCTCGAGGAGCGCGCCGGCGGCAAGGGCGCAACCAAAAGCGGGCACCCGTGGTCGCGCGGACGCGGTGCAGAGGGCCGGGCCGACGGCGGGCGGGCGGAGCGCAGGCGCTACTTCTCCCGCGGCCGCGGGCTCGCGCCGGCCAAGCGCGAGTGCTCGGGGTGCCCAGCTGCCGGGGCCCCCGCTAGCGGCCGGGGCCCGCCCGGCGGCGGTTGGGAAGACGCCCGAGCACGCTGCCGCCGCTCCGCCTGCCGAGCCAGCAGACCACGCGGCGACGTTGGCGTGGGCTCAGTCAGCGCCGTTCGCGCTCCCGGAGCCAGGCTGCCATTGGGAGCAATCGCTCTGCGATGCTATGTCGCTCAGGGCCAAGCTTGGCGCGGGCTTGTCTGATTTCCAGCAGCAGCAGCAGTGGCGCAAGTTCGCCGGCTGGAAACAGCACTTCCAGGCCACCGGCGAGCAGGCGCAGCGGGCAGGCAGCGTGCCCGCGAGTCAGGCAGGTCTGCGGCCACCTGTAGGGTCCGCTCCTGAAGGCCGCCTTTAGAGCGGCCCGCCACGACGATGCCGGCTTTGTCGATGACCTACACGGCGGGTTCCCGGCGATCGGGTGCATCCCACCGAGCGGCACTGGTCGCCGCGCGCGAAGCAGCCCGCCGTCGAGCTCAGCGACCTCTTGCAGGCAGCCAAAGAGCGTCAAGGCGCTGGCCGCGTCTCCCTGGCAACTGCGCACCAGGGCGAGCTGTGGTCGGCGGTCGCCAGCGCGAGCTGTGGTGTCAGCTTGGCGATTTCGTCGACCAGCTATACTTCGGCGTCGAGCAGGACGGCGAAGTCCGCGGCTGCCAAGGATCTCGCGCTTCTGGCGTGGCTGCTTCCGCCCAGCTGAACGAGAATATGCACATGATGGGCATCGACGGCGTCACCGTGTTGGCCCGGGTAGGCGCGAGCGTCCACCCGCAGGAGCAGCTCAACTTGGCCAAAGTTGACTGGAAGAAGATGTTCCACCAGGCGGGCTTGCTTCCCGAGCATCGCCGGTTTTCGTCTCCTTCGTGCTCGACACGGACAAGGGCGAGTTGGTCGCAGTCATTCCCAATTGTATGACATCTGGCGGCCGCGCCCAGCCACAGCAGTGTTCGCGTATGCCGCGGGCAGTCGCGACGGTGGCCCGCCGTTTCTTCGGGCTGCTTTGCGACCGCCACGTAGACGACGTGGTCGGGTGCGCTCCCCAGAGCCTAGCCGCTGGCGAATTCCGACTGCTGTGCGACCTGCACGAGCTCTTTGGCTTCGAGGTCGCTGGGGCCGGGGGCCCGGGAGACAAGTTCCTCGAGCCGAGGCGCGGCGGCGTGCTTCTGGGGGCCGCCTTCCAGCTGCCACCGCCGCGCGGCATGGCGGACTCGTGGAGTGGTCGATCCCCGCGCGGAAGGCCACCGCATGCGCGGCCGAGTTGTCGCAGGCGC